AGCTCTGGCGTGGGCTGGTCCATGAGGTCACGAAGAGTCGGAGACGACTGAACGAATGAACAACAAAGGAAATCACAGTTTTGTGTAAATTCACAATACTGTCCCACAAAAGAGGATGAACAAAGTGCTGTACTGAAACATATTGTAACTGTGTGACGTAGAATTTGTCTGTGTGATCTCTGATATTCTCAAATTGCTGCATTTCAGGCAGCAAAGAAAGGGAAAGAACATATTCTCACTTCAGAGTTTGGAGATATAGTGAGATTTTGGAGATCTGTTGCCAATGTAGATATTATTGGGCTAAGGGAGCAAGTGCTCTGATTCACTACATGACAGTTTCTTACTGACTGACTGGTTGCTTGCATGTACATATCTCTTGGTAATTTATTTTAATCAGTTTACTCTACAATGATTTAAAACAGTTTAGTTTGAAAAGATAATAAATAAGAGCTCCTATACCAAACATACATAAAAATATAGTAGTTATCACTTGGAAAAAAACAGTAAACAGCTATCTTTTCTGTGGGTATTTAAAATTGAGTATACTCTGACTAAACAAGGATAAAGGGAAGATGCTTGCCAGTATTAAAAAGCTCTCACACTGCAGCACTATATTGGATGTAGAACAACCAATAATCAAAGTATAGTGGTACGAGAACAGATAGGCAATTTGGGACTAGAAATGCATTCCTTATATTGCTACCTTAAATACAGAGACATAAGAGAAAAATCCCTGAACAAGCAGAATCATGTGGCACCATTTCAGTATAATTCTGTGGTTGGCAGCTCAGCCATCCTAATGTGAAATGAAGTCAAGGGAAACATATTTCTGAGAAGACGGTCCATATATAGTTTCTTGTTTGGAATTCTGCAGAGATTTGTATTGATAAACCTTTTCCTGGCAATCTATCTAATTTCATGGAAGAACAGGGAAACAGCCACCTTCCAAATTGGAGAGGATAATTGAGTTTCAGATTAGAGCACTCTCTTCTGTTCTTGGTCCTCTGGAGGCAGCGGGGCATCTCCGTGCTTCCGTCATGATTTAGGACTTGGAGAACTCAAGTGTCAGCCACTTGTCCCTCAGCACAGTTTCACAAGACTTGGGATTTCCATAATGCAACTAGAAATTACTCTGGTTGTGCTTGAGCCACATTGTGACTCTCTTGCTGATGGAACAAGCAGGTCTCAAGAGGCTTGTATAAAAGCTTCTTGCCTGTGGTTCCCAGGGAAAGTGACTGGAAAAGATGTCACTTACTCCTAATCAGGCTTTCTCCCACTGCTAAACCTCTGCGGACGATAGTCTGGCTTTTTCCCTGAATGGAAACTAGCCCCCTGAGCCTCAATTTTAGTCAGCTTCTCAATCCAGTCCATCCCAGTGCAAGGGTCTGGTCTCTCATCTGCCCATGGACTAGATAATTCTTCCAAACCTAATATCTGAAGTTCAGAGCAGAGTAACTCTGCACCACGCTCTTTTTTGTTTAGCAAGACAACCTGGCTGAACTGCTCTTAGGATCTTGTACTCTCCGGTATTTTCCTGGGTCTTTTTGGCTTCTGGGCACCCAAGTAGCAGAAAAAAAAGAGCTCATTTTGCACAACCTTCAAAGACACACAGTGCACAAGAGTCATCAACACAAAGGTTTCATGAAGTGCCTCTGTAAGCAGTAATGCTGTGCGGCTGCTGAACTGGAAGTCCCAGGCTCGAAGGGGTTTCCTTTCCCTTAGATATATAAAGGTGACTCTTAGATCCAGGTTGGGCTTATCTATTTAAAATGTTGCAACATGGTCAAGCAGAGTGATGGCTGGTAGACTTCAGCAGCTCTGGGGATCCATTTTACTATGCAGTAGTATATAATAAGACTTGAGCATCCATGGATTTTATTGTTGAGATGGGGTGGTCCTGGAATCAAACCTCAGTGGGTGTTTAGCACCACTCTAACAACCTGTAGCATTAGCATATGGATGCCTTTAAGTACAGACTGTTAACAGTTTTTTCATTTTCTCTGACCCTCCTTTCATTTCTAGGTCTGCTAGCCATCCTGATCCCCCGCCTGGACATCGTCCTATCTCTGGTGGGTTCCGTGAGCAGCAGCGCTCTAGCCATGATCATCCCACCCCTCCTGGAGATCTGCACCTTCTCCTCCGAAGGCATGCACCCGCTCAGGATTGCCAAAGATATCCTCATCAGCGTCATAGGCTTTGTTGGATTTGTGGTGGGGACTTACGAGTCTCTCTTCGAACTCATTGTACCAACGGTTTCGAACGTCACCAGTGCCTTGCCATGACACTTTTAACCTGCCACAGCTTCTACTCCCAGTCTGTCATGAACGGTTCAGTAAGTCCTGGTTTCCTCTTGTAGAAACTGCAGGGATTCCTTCCTCCTTCTTGCTTCCCAAGTATGTCTATTTGCAGCTGAAGGGGCATGGATGCAGTGAAAAGGATAGCACTTGCATCTATTGTGTGTCTTTGATTCTTCATTTATGAGTCTGCTATTGTTTGAGAGCTTTCATAGTTTGAAGGCTGATCTTTGATTAGAATGGGACATTAGAATGGGATGTAACAATGTTGCCTATTAGGCAAGGAATGATGTACAAGAACCTTGGGTTTAACTCCACACTACATCTTTCTGAATCTGGACCAGTACATGTTTGGGAAATTAAGAAGAAATACCACCACTTCCTTTTTGGTTGCACTTTTGAAGCACATCTGTTTGCTTAAAGGTGACAGCAAGGACTACGAATCTATTGATGTTCTCATGCAAATGTTTCTGTTTTTCAAAGAAAATGGTGTGTAACTTGGGCAAGATATAGGAGAGCGGTAAATGGGAGCCTGTTTACAGTTATTTTTTAACCGATGCCACAGTGTGGGTATCCTCTTCTTTATTTTCTGTCATACCTCTTCTCTGTGTTTGTGTGCATATTAACACAATGACATCAGGAGCAATGCTCAGGCCAACATTGATTGGACTGTTTTCAGAAGACATAGAGAGCAAAGTTTGTGTTGCTAAATCAAGCACTTTCTCACATAGACCCTGTCAAAAAGTTGGTTACTGGGTACCTTGGAAGAAACATATGTGCAAATGCAAGACTTGGGTGTGGGTTATGGAAGTAATTTTAGATGCAGGGGATTTTATTTATGGTGGTATATTCAGAGGGAATATTGGTAACTAATTTTAAACTACCGTCTCGTGACTCAATCAAGCAGATAAATATTAAATATATGTAGAAAAAGGTATTGGACCTTCCCTTCTCCTTTGCTGATATGAGTTAGCCTTCATAATCTGTACTGGCATTGTGCTTGCTGTACAGCAATTGCGTGTAGAATAGCTTCTCCCTGAGCAGATTTGCTGTGTATTCATTTACCAAATTTCTCTGAATTGGGGGTACCTTGGATTTTTAGGGTACCTTGGGAATGACAGGAGAGCAAAGGGAATTCCAGCTGCAGGTTATAGGGCCCTATCATAAAGAAGCCAAGTTCTCATAAGCAGCCTGGGATGAAAAGCAAAACGAGGTAAAGAACTTTCCAGACCCACTTTATTTTCTCCTAAATATAGGACTTGGCAAGAATTAATTATAGGGCAGTTATCATGTCTATTCAAAAGTAATTCCTGCTTTATTTCTTCAACAAAGCACCCCTATAATGGGTTGCTGTAGTTTTTTTGGGCTGTATGGCCATGTTCTAGAAGCATTCTCTCCTGACGTTTCACCTGCATCTATGGCAGGCATCCTTCAGAGGTTGTGAGGATGTCTGCCATAGATGCAGGCGAAACGTCAGGAGAGAATGCTTCTAGAATATGGCTATACAGCCCGAAAAACCTACAACAATGCAGTGATTATGGCCATGAAAGCCTTCGACAATACATTGCCCCTATAATGGTTTTGATCTGAGTACTTTTGTGTAAGTGTGAGCAATCTGAACAGTTTTTGTCTGTTTTGATGTACACTTGCTTTTGTAAAAATGTAATCATGATGTTTGATCCACTTCATTCCATTTCTTGACATTGATACTGATATCAAGAGAAATTGAACTTCATTTCTTATCTACTTTCTCATTACCCCAAAGCTACAAATATATCCATTGAGGTATGCCGGATTTCATTAGAAAATATTCCTCTTTCTGCATGGCAAGGAAAACAGTAGATTATAAGTACATTTTAAAAAGGAATTGACTCATTCAGTTCACTGTCTCTTCAGTTTCATGCAGGAACATTTGTCAAAATTATTCAAATTTTCAGATCAGAATGGAGCCATGTTCTGTCACTAGGTAGATTTTTAGTTAGTCCTGTGGTAACGGTGCAAGATTTTTATAAGATACTTTATACAACTTCAATGGCACAGTTTTAAGTAGGAATTAGAGTAGATGAAATGGAATTGGTTGAAAGCAGAAACTTCTCACTGGAGCTAAGAAAACTTTCTTTTTTTCTGGGTACAATTTTCAAAGTCCCCCAGCAAATGTGATAGCTAGTTAGGAAAGTTGGCAGTTGTCCCTAAAGTTACTTTCCTACACTCTGCTTCCTTCACTCCTTTTTGTGAGTGACTCAGCATCACTTAAAATCTGTTGGGACACAATAGAGTAAGTAGTTTGTCAAACTCTTTTTTCCCACTTCCTTCCTGGATTTCAGTTGTAATGGGATCCATGACTTGATAAAGGACAGCACCAGTTGCAAAAAGGGGATGTAGAAACAAGTTGAAGAGGAGACACATAAACAGGTTGGCAAAATAATAATTACAGATGCTTGTTTGTGTCCTTCTTTCGTTCTGATATACATTTAGCTTTTTCAGTTAATGTATGCCATAGAACTGGTTTTGCTCATTTTAAAAAAACTACTGGAAAAGAATGCAGTTTTACAATTTTGAAGTTAGAACTCTTCCCATTTTCGTTCTACAGAAGTTCCAATGGTTGGAAGTTTTTGTAGTACTTTTGAGGGCATCTCCTTTATCTTGGCTAACTTTCCATCTCTCCTAAGGAGCTATCTTTGCTAATTTTCTGCCATAATGCTCAGAGTCATGAATATTGGTTGCACATTTATTTAATGCTGCTTTGAGAAACAAAGCCAAATGTATCATTGTTTTTGAAATATTTATCTCAGTTTCTCATTTGCAATGTTTCTGTAATGACACATTTTTTTTAAAAAAAACTTGGTTTTATACTGCTTAAAGCCTCATCTTTTGGTGAGAAAGTTGCACTTGACTCCTACATAATTAACTGCTTTAACATTCATGAATGTTTAATGGAGTTGGGGGGGACCCTCACATATAATATCACTATCAGGAGTTTTGCTAATTGTGACTTGTATCATTAGGATGGTAGCTGATGAGCTAACCTTCATAGGTTTTGTTAATGTTGCTGACTTTAATGGGTTTGTGGGTTACGAAGTCTTTCTTCCTCCCTCCCTCACACACTCATTCACTCTTTCTTGACAAGATTCGTTTTCAATAGACCAGCTTTCTCCTGGTCTGGCACACTCCTCATGTTTTAGCCTACATTCCCATCATCCCAGCCAGCATGTCAATGGCCAAACATGATGATAAATGCACTTCAGCATATTAGGGAAGGTGGAGCTGCATTTTACTTATTTGCATGGAACATACCCAATTTTTTGAACAGGCAGAATTCTGGTATATGCTGTTTACCTTTCTAGTGACTTATCAACTGAAGTCAAGAACGTTCAGGCCAGAACCATCTCCCATTTTCTAGGAAGCTACTATTTGACATAATTTTTAAAAGTAGTTTATTGCCTAGCAGAGATACTAGTCTGATTTTGAACTCTCCATGAGAATCACTTGATGTGGTTGTGTGTTTTTTAAAAATATATATATACCAATGGGTAAAAGGGCATTTCAGTTCTAAATCAGATCTATACTTTGAACTTGGTTTACTTATTTATTTCAAAAAAATCAGTGGCTGAACAATGAAATGTATGTATATGAAATCAAAGTGGAGTTTGGTTGTTCCTGTAGATTTCTATAAGAGGAGAATCAGTGATCAGGTTCCTCACCAGCAGCTCTTGACAGGACCCCCAAAAATGTAGTTTCTCTGTGCTATGGTATGTATTTACACAACAGCAGCAATGGGGATACTTACCTTCCTGTCAAATCCCATGAGAAAGCCTGCTGTTGCAAATTCTTTCTTTGGCATCAATCTAAGATCCCAGGAAGCTACCCTTGATTCATATCTTTGGGTTTTACCTATGGATTACTTAGAGCAGTGGTTCTTAACCTGTGGGTTCCCAGATGTTTTGGCCTTCAACACCCAGAAATCCTAACAGCTGGTAAACTGGTTGGGATTTCTGGGAGTTGTAGACCAAAACACCTGGGGACCCAGAGGTTGAGAACCACTGACCTAGAAGAATGGTTTGATAGTCACTTCTTGCAATGAAGAGAATATTCTTTTCTTTTTTTTTTAGTTTTATGTGTTGTACAGAATGAAGCAAACAAATAGTAGGGTAAGTTAAATGTAGATATATATTAATTTGAATCAGTGGGGGCGGGATCCCAATAAATAATGATCCACAATATGATTTTTAAACAAGTGACTTTGAAGGCTGTTAAAGGTGTTTGCGTATGTCTGTATGTATACACTAAATCACTAAATGTGTATTTATTTGTGCCTAAATTTGTACATTGCAAGCAAATACTTTGTACTGCTGCTACTGTGCATACCTAGTGGGAAAATTAATTATGTTGTGTATAATGGTGCTGTTCCTGAATCATGTATTTTGCTGGATGTTTTATTCAATAAAGTCTTATTTTTTACTCTATTCCACGAATTCCTGTATGCCTTTATTATTCTGAAATACTGTGTAGATTGTGAATTTTGATTTACTTGCAACCAGAATAAGACCGTAAGGATATATAAACAGCAATAAAATTCATCAGCCATTTCCATATGTATTGCCTGCATAAAACAATAAAAATGGAAATTACCATTAACTAGTTTTACCAGATTTACAATATGTTATTTGAGACAATGGGATTAATTTACTGTTTCACATATTTGGGATCACTGCTTCTTAAACTGTGGATACTTGACTCCAAATGGGTTCCCTTGAGCTCAGTGTTTGGGATCATAAAAATTGGCAACAGTAAAAGATTTCTGAATGCCACCCAGTTACACAAACCTGTTAGCAGTAATATGCAGTGTTTACAGTAGACTGAAAAAAATGCTTCAGCTGTACTTCACGCCTCTTTAGTAAGACTTGCAAATAGTAATTCTTTAGCAGCCAATGTTTCATTTTTATATCTATTGTACAGTATCTACATATAAATTTGGGGCCATTAAAATTTTCTTGGATGAAAAGGAGTCATGAGTGGATAGTTTTAAAAGCCCTCTTCTAGATCATGTTCTTTTCCCCAACCCAAACAGATAGTCCCTTTCCTGCCCACATCTCCCACGTCAGATAAGAAAGGACTGATCCCACTAGAATGGATATCAAAGTACACCTAATGAATGGTGGCCTCTATGTAAAAAATTATCTGTATAGTTATTGTCTTAGCTCTTCATGAACATGATGCTTCAGTGCTTCATAATAATAATAATAATAATAATAATCATCATCATCATCATCATCATCTTTATTTATATTCCGCCCTATCTCCCCTGGGGGACTCAGGGCAGATTCCAGCAAACAAAAAGGCAAACATTCAATGACAATAAGTAGACATATAATAACCCAGAATAAATGACCCCAGATGCAAGACATTTTAAGCATAACAGCTATAACTTAAATAAAACACAATCTATTGAAAGTTATAACTAACAAAACGTGAAAACAAAACATCCAAATTAATTTACAAAAGCACCACAAAGGTTCATCAATGCTTACATTTACTGTGTGGCCAATGATGTTAAATGGGCTAATGTGATCTAACAAGGCCCGAATGCATTTATACTTTCCAGTCAGCAGTCTGGTAATGTTCATCAGTTCTATCCAAATCAAGGTTGGAGAATCTATGTTCCTCCAGATACTAATGAGCTATATTTGCCCTATCGCCCCTCACTGTTTGTTGTGCCACCCAGCAGCTTTAGATGTTGCCCACCTCAAGGTATAAGGAGGAGCTGTTTCCATCCTATTCTATGCTAGACCTGTTTTTCCTCTTCCATCTCTTCAGGGCCTTCATACTGTGATGAAACATTTTATGCAGAGCCAATTTACTTGATTTAATTGTCATTTTGTAGCAATATGCTGAAATTGACCCCATAATTTGTATCCTTCACTTGTGTACTTTTTCAAATGATATATGTGACACCTTTGAGCCATCAGTATCCTCATGAGTCATTAGGACCCTTCCTCTTCTTTAATCCAAATGCAGTATTGAGATTCTTTCTGCCTAGATTTTAGAGGCCAACAGAATTGATTTAGCGGAGGCAATTTAATGTCAGTCTCTGGAGAAGAGTGAAATTATGAATAGTCAAAAAAATGAAGTGTGTTTGTGTGAAAATAAACCTTTCTTGGTGATTTATTTTGGAAATATCTTCTTCCTGGTGAAAAAGTTCTACATGGATCTGTACATGATAGATCTTGTGCTATTATGCTTCATCTGAGTAATCTCTGCAGTAGAACAAGGTATGGTAAATTGGAGTAATAAGTTAAAACTTTAAAAAGTTAGTTTTGCATGATGCCGTGGCTCGGATCCTTGGTAACAGACAGTACGCCCCTCGATCCTTGATAACAGACAGCGGGAAAGGACCCTTGTTGTCCCCCTTCAGTGTTATGATCTCGTTAACTTTTTAAAAAGTTTATGCTAATTTGAAAACCACATATTAGAACACAGTTTGAGAAACGCAGTAGAAGAAGCCAACTTTGCCCAGACTTTTGGCTTGAGAAATGTGGCTTCACTTACATGGCACCTCTTGGTCATCTACACCACAAAATTCAATACTGTGAAATGTAATGTGAATTGCATCAGAATATGATGTCCAGGGGCAAGTGACCCTTAATTGGCTTTTGCCTAAATATGTCTCACATTTTGGAGAGGGGGCTGCTTAAATCTGAGATTGATCATTGCCTCCACTTTTTCTGTGATCTTCTGCTTAGAATGAAGAATATCGCATCGGCAATAGCTAATAGTTCATGAAATTAGAAGGGGGACAGTTTGCAAATAGAAAACTCAATTTGGAGATCAGCACATTGGCTGATGTGGAGCAGAATCATTCAGAGGCGGGTTGATCAGTCAGGATCTGCATCTTCTATCTTAATTAGTGACTTGCAAACAAAGGAAGCTTCATCTTTCAGACTTACCAGACTTCAAGAGATTTTAGAAGAACTGCTCTTACACAGGAGGTGTAGTGTGGGAGGAGATGATAGCAAATGAAGACATTGCCCTTCCAGATAAGTATTTCGTCCCCCTTCAAGAATTGCTCATTCACCTCTAGCCTTCCAGTATCTCAAAATGGCAGTTATACATTTAGAAATATAGTTTAGGAAGCCAAAGAAAATGTGCATGCAAAGTTACAAAGGGAATGAGAGGGTGGAAAATGCAAGAGAAGAGACTCCTTCTCCTTCTCCTTCTCCTTTTCCCTTTCCTTCTCCTTTTCCTTCTCCTCCTCTTTCTCCTTCTCCTTCTCCATCTTATTTTTCTATTTGTCAATGGGGCCTAGACAGGGCCTCCCAAGACATTTCTCCCAAAGTCGAGAAGAAGCATCTTGTGATGCTTCCTCCTCCATGATGGTGAAGAAAGTGTTTTTTTCTGGTAGCTCTGATGGAGCTACCCACACTTTCCTTTCATTTTCCCCATATAATGGGGGAAAGGGCGACGGGGCAACCTGCATTGCCACCCTTTCACCCATATGAAGAGGCCAGGGCACCAATGCACCTTGTCCTGTCCCCACCATATGATGAGAGAAAGAGGGAGGGCAAGTGGGGCGTAACAAGGTGTCCCACATGCCTTCCTTTTTGTTGGCAACTGCCAGTAAAACAGCATAGCCCCTGGGGCCATGTGAAGAGGTCCTTAAAGCACCAGAAATTTAAGGAGGGCCACTTACAACTTTGGGATTCTATGACCAAATGTACCTTGTACTCTGCCAGTCCCTTCTTTCCAGGGAAGCCAGATTGACCCCTCCATTCTGTCCTTCCGGCAGCACGCTTTTAAAGAAGGAGGTTTTTAAGATCAAGTCAATGGGTGATGTGGTTTTAGTTTTGAATCTATTTTTAAGGATTTAAACTGTTCATTTTAATACCATTGATACTTAATTCTGTTTTAATCTTCGTATATTTTTTGGTTTCAAATTGTATTGCATTAGTCACTTTGAGTCTCTTTTGTAGAGAAAGAAAGTGGGGTATAAGGATAAACATAATAATAATAATAATAATAATAATAATAATAATAATAATAATAAATCAGTTGCTTTTAGCCTCATATCAAGAGAAAGGAGAGACATAAAATAAGTAATTTTTTAAAAAAATCACGGAGTGTCTGTGCCATGTAAAATTACATTTTGTAAATACATGCCTCTTTCACATATTACGGAGTCAGGTGTCGTCTCTCCTGTGCACTCTTCATGCATTTAATTTTTAAAAGTGTCCAGGAATGCAAGTCCTGTCTAAAATGTTATTATGGCTGTCTGATAGATTCTGCAGCCAGTGGCACTATCAGGAACTCAGATCCTATTTAACGCTGGCGAAGCATAAAGCTCTGTAGTTAAGTGCGTGAGGGGCCAAGAGAGTGATGGCTGGCAGATGTTTTCCCAGAGCTGCCCCCTTTCCCAATGAGTCCTTGCTGCTTGGACTTAAAGGAGAAGAAGAGCTGTGGACCAGCAATACCTAACAGCCATTTTGCATTCATTGCCTGTTTACTAAGAAGTATGTCCACTGTAAAGAGCCAGCATGTTGCAGTGGTTTGAGTGTTAGAAAAGGACTCTGAAGACCAGGGTTCAAATCCTCACTCAGCCATAGAAACCCATTGGGCAAGGATGGCAAGGGCAAACTTGCTCTGAGCACATCTTGCCAAGAAAATCCCATGATTCCTTTGCTTCGGGTTTGCTATAAATCAGAAATTACTCAAAAGCACAGAAAACATCCAAGTCCCTTTGCATTCAGTGTCATTTATTTAATGGATAGGACTGCAGCCATAATGACCCTAAGAATTTCAGAAGCTTCAAGCTGGTGAAGCATAAAGCTCTGTTAGGATACGTAAGTGTGTGGGGGGCCAAGAGGGGGGTGGCTGGCAGATGTTTTCCCAGAGCTGTGATGGATTTAAATCACATGCTTTTTGGAAATATTTCCTTGTTCTCCTTATTTCAAAACCCAGATCATATAAATGAGTGGTTCTCAACCTGTGGGTCCCCAGATGTTTTGGCTTTCAACTCCCAGTAATCCTAACAGCTGGTAAACTGGCTGGGATTTCTGGGAGTTGTAGGACATAACACCTGGGGACCCACAGGTTGAGAACCACTGTGCTATAAATGGATTTCAGTTTTGATGTCCCAATCTTCCAGTAGTTTCTGGAAAACATTCCTTCTTTTTCCTTCTTTCTTAGGGCCCTTCAACACAGCCATATAAACCAGAATATCAAAGCAGGAAATCGCACAATATCTGCTTTGAACCAGATTATCTGAGTCCACACTGCCATATATTCTAGTTCAAAGCAGAACATGTGAGGTTTTATTGAGCCGCGTGGAAGGGGCTTTAGACTCCAAGTACTTCTTGGCTCCAAGTTAAACATTTGTTTTTAGCTGACATTAGATATTTAGATAATAATTTTCTGCTACTCTGATTATCAAAGGATCTAGAATAAAGTGCCAAATTTCTCCTAATGCCTTTGTTTGTATTGAAAATATTTTATTACCCAGATTTTGAAACAGCTGTGAGAATATAAAAGGCTATTTTGTAATCACAAAGAAAAAAATCCTGACATAACATTCTTTTTTTAAAAAAATGTGGGGTGATCACAGCCTTTCTTCTCATACTTAATTACTTGCTGTTTTTGGACAAATCTTCATGACAAACAGTTCTAGCTATACATTTTTGTATCACAGTTGAGGTACAGGAGCCCTTCCCCTGATTGAGATGTGATTCATGCCACCCTGATGTTGCTGAGTGGGAACTCTGAGTATTCTCCATCACTGGAGTGCTAGGACTGGGGATTCAACAACACCCAAAGGGTTTCATGAACCTATGCACTCACAAACTAATGTTTTCTTTTGACACAAAAGTGCCAATACTGTCTTGACCTCCCACATAGGTTTACCTATTTACCTATAAAGAGATGTTTTATGGGTGGCAGCTCTGTTGAAAACATGGAAAGCCATGATTTATTTTTAAGGAACTCCACAGTTTTCCATTAGAATCATAAAGTCATAGAATCATAGAGTTGTAAGAGACCTTGTGGGCCATCCAGTCCAACCCCCTGCCAAGAAGCAGGAAAATCACATTCAAAGCACCCCTGATAGATGGCCATCTAGCCTATGTTTAAAAGCCTCCAAAGAATGAGCCTCCAACACACTCCGGAGCAGAGAGTTCAATTGCTGAATAGCTCTCACAGTCAGGAAGTTCTTCCTCGTGTTCAGGTAGAATCTCCTTTCCTGTAGTGTGAAGCCATTGTTCCACATCCTAGTCTCCAGGGCAGCAGAAAACTAGCTTGCTCCCTCCTCCCTATGACTTCTTCTCATATATTTATGCATGGCCATCATGCCTCCTCTCAGCCTTCTCTTCTGCAGGCTAAACATGCCCAGCTCTTTACATTCAATAAGCTTTTCCTGACTGCAAATCAGATCTAATGTTTGAAATTGACTTTTAATCATGACCAATGGTCAAAACCATGGGCTGGGGATGTCCCTTTGTATAAGCATTTTTGTGTCCATAAGGAAACATGAGTTGGTGAGTACATGAAATGCAAACTATTCCAAAGCTCCACCTTGATGTGTTCTATAAATTGAAGCTAATACCTCATGTAGCATGTTTCTTCAGAAATGCAAACACATTTTTATTAAGGGCTTTCCTTTTCACACTTTACTATCGAATTAGCCATCATGAAAATTTTAAAAGGATGGTGAGAATGAAATGGTGTTTTTGTTTCTCGCAGTTAGGAAAAAGTGAAGTCAGTGAAGTGAAGAAATGGAAGGAAAGATGTAGGGAAAACAATCCATTTAAAAATTACTCCCATTGATGTGAAGGGATTATATGAGCTTTAAATTATCTTGCTGCCAGGAGGAAAAATTTGATCCTTCTGCACTTTAAGGTAAAGGTAAAGATTTCCCTTGACATTAAGTCTAATCGAGTCCGACTCTGGGGGGTGGTGCTCATCTACATTTCTAAGCTGAAGAGCTGGTGTTGTCTGTAGACACCTCCAACATCATGTGGCCAACATGGAGTGCTGTTACCTTCCCAGAGAAGCAGTACCTATTGATCTCACATTTGGATGTTTTTGAACTGCTAGGTTGGCTCATCCCGCTCCCTGGACTCGAACCACCAATTTTTCAGTCAGCAAGTTCAGCAGCTCAGCCATTTAACCTGCTGTGCCACAGGGGACCCACTTTTAAAAGCTGCAAATTTTCTTGTTTGGTGAGCTATCTTTTTTCATTTTTGCGGGGAGAGAAAACCTAGGCCAGTGGTTCTCAGCCTATGGGTCCAGCCAGTGGTTCTCAGCCCATGGGTTTTGGCCTACAACTCCTAGAAATCCCAGCCAGTTTATCAGCTGTTAGGATTTCTTGGAGTTGAAGGCCAAAACATCTGGGGACCCACAGGTTGAGAACTATTGACCTAGACAGACGATGGATGCTTCCAGGCACTTGCAAATAATCAATGGACCCATTATGACTTTCCTCCTTCATCATTTTTTCAGAAAATGTGTGTGGGGGCAGGGATATGAGAGAGTTATGAATCGAAGCCAATGTTCTATTGACTTTCTATAAAAACAAGAGTATAAAACGGTGATGACACAGTAAAAGCTTAATCTGAGAGCATCCCGTTTTTTATAGAGAAAAGCTTGTCTCAGGCTAGAGAAAACACATATTACAGACTGTTCAAATGGCATTCTTTTATTGTACTTTGGTCCATATTAGGCATAACACAAAAGTTACTTCAACCATAGAAAATCTTTTTGCTTGTGACATTATCGTGCTAAAGACAAGTTTCTTGTCTTCAGATGGTCTTTTGGAACACTTCAGAAAAGAGGAAGGGAAGGAAAACAGCAATAACAAAAATAAATGTTGCAGTACTTTTAAGACTGTTTTTATTTTCACATGAGTTTTCATGGATATAAACTTATGTCTTCCAATGCAGTAGAGTGTACAAAGTGTAAATCACTTAGACTTGAGACTGAACCCCATCACTTCTGAATACTAACCAACAGCATTTCAGTTTGCAAGAAGAGCCTTTTTACCAATTCCTGCTTGTGTTTGGAATACAGCTTCCAGAATCCCCAGGTCTTCAAACACTGTAGTCTAGCTTAGGCATTGGCAAATTTTGCCCTTCTAGGTGTTTTGGACTTCAGTTCTCACCAGTAGGCTGTTAGGAATTGTGGGAGTTGAAATCCAAACACTTGGAGGGCTGAAGTTTGCCCAAGCCTGGTCTAGCTGATTTTCCCACAATATTTTCTCTGTGGCCAAATGTAGATGATGGAAAACTAGAAAAGTGATATTGCAGGACCTGGTAAGTCATTACTATTTTAACTTCACTTTACTCGATGGCAAATTTTGTCCAATTTTTTTGTGCAAAAGTGGTGGTGTGTACAAGTGTGTAGGGGTCAGTTTTGTGCATATAATGGAAAAACAGTTTTCCTCTCATCTAGTACAAGTTTAGGTGGAGAAGTTATCCTTATTCCCTCAGTTATAATCAATAACAGACAGGGCAAATGCTAATGCAAGCACCAAAGTGTTCTGTCTCTTTTTCCAACAGGGAAAAAACCTGGTGAGAGAAGGGCATGGTGGCTCATTTAATCAATTGACTGGTCTAGTGATCCACTCCTCAGCCCAAGTGCACACTAATTTTTCCAACATGCAACCAAAAGTTTTTGCCTGACTTAGTTCCACACAGCCATTTTGAGGTTCCTTTTCCCTAGACTGAGCTCATTTTGCATCCATGGACAAAAAAAAAAGATAGCTGAAGTGAACTGCATAGTTCACAGCACGGGCAGAGTTAATCGAATTATCACTTTCAGCGTTTTCTGCGTGTGATTCCCATCTCATCTAAGTGTGTACAACCCTATATCAAACCAAACATATTGGACATACCTGAAATTTTAAATAGCAGGTCATGTATCTGATAGATGATACTTCATGACAGTTTGTGGTGTCACAAATGTGTTAGGCTTTCAAGAGTGTTTTGGGAAATCAAACATTCAAGTTTTCTCTCTCAATCAAGGAGCCCTCCCCAACTTATCTCTATCCATATTCTATCTCAGACTGGAGACAATGTGTACAAGTCTTGAGAGGGAGGCATGAGAGACAGAGAGAGAGAGAGAGAGAGAGAGAACTCACATATGCACTGATTGGTTATCCTTGCCACAATCCCTACATTTAACAAAACCTATTTGGTGAGTATCAGAAACCTTCTGAGAAGCAATCTCAGACTTAGTGGTACTGTAGAAAACAAGCTCAAAAATCCACAAGAGCCTGGAAAGCAGTTCATGGAATAAATAATGCATTATGTGCTACAATTTACTTGGCTTAGCTCTGTCAGTTACCAACATGATTTCACTGATAAGAAGTCAGGATTTGCTATGCCAGTTATGTCCTGAAGTACAACTCTCAATCCTCACTGCACTCAGAGAGCACACCATCAAATGCTCTGTTATGTAGAATTATGTTCTCAGTTACTTTCCTGTGGTCACAGAAGGACTCATGTAAGCTTTATCCAGCTTTGAGATCAAATTCTGCTTGAATTCAGTGGATTTCTTTTAGTCTGCTCTACAAGCCAGCTGGCATAGAGTCAGAATGATTCTCTTGTATTCCTTCCTAAAGTTGTGATTCAGTGCTCCATAAATCACAGCATTCAAGCAGCTGTTGAAGTATGCCATGAAGTAGCTGGCTGTGAAGAGCCACGCTGGTATGGAGGAATCCAACGCTGGCTTCAGTGCCACCAGAAAGCCAATGAAGTTGAGTGGAGCCCAGCAGACAGCAAAGAGGACAAAGACCATAAACATGGTCAGGAAGTTCCGGAAATCGTGAGGTTTGATTCTGGGACGGACATCTGGCTTGACTCGCCGCCGCACCTGGAGCACCAGGATCCAGATCCTGAGATAACAGTAGCTGACGATAGTGATGGGCAAGAAGAAATGGACAACCACCACCATAATGGTGTAGAGTGAGCTGACGGACTGGGCAAAAGTGCAAGAATACACCCGGGGGTCATATTTCAGGGAGTCCACAAAGAGGTTTGGCATGATGGCCAGCAAGGTAAGAGCCCAAACAAGGCCCACATAACAAAGTGTGTTGTTGATGGAGAAGAGCCTGTCGTACTTCAGACTGTGGCAGATGTAGCAGTAGCGGTTGATGGCAATGCCAGTGATGTTGAAGATGGAACCTATAACGCTCATGCCCATCAGGAAGCCACTCACCTGACAGTGGAGGTAGCCCATAACCCAATCATTATGGAAAATGGCAATAAGGGCCAGCGGGTAGGGATACAGTGCCACCAGCAAGTCTGCAACGGCCAGGCTGACCACAAAGGCATTGCCTAGAATGCAAATCTAAAAGTTAGATACAAAGTTAACAGTTCTTGATACATAAGCAGTTAAGTTATTCTCCATCTACTAAAACAAAATACTCAATTTGTGACACCAGACTATAAGATAGCACTTGTCTATGTTGCAAATAAGTTGGTATTTTGAGTTCAGTGCAGGGGCTCATTTCCGATATGGCTCTCCCCAGTTCAAAACCTGTGATTAATCTAGAGGTGATGAAACTGAGATACCTATTCTGCAAAAAAAAAATCTCTGGAGCAGCCTACCCTAAACTCCAATTATCTAGCAGCCATTTCCCTAAACTGTAGAACAGAGAGAGGGGGAAAGTTGAGATAGCAACAATCCTCCTACAATGCCAGCTCTATAAGATCTTAGCTTTTCCCAACAGCCATTCCACTGAGTTGAGGAATATTATAAATACTAAGAACTGTATTTTAGTTTTCTTGTATTCATTTTATGTTTTGTTTTTTGTTTTTGTTTTTTCAGATTATAACTCTGAGGTCAGGGTCTTGTCCTTTAAATGTAAATATATAAACCAGTCTGAGATCTTGCCCAACAGTAGAATATGAAAGCACCTGCACAAACTTTACTATCTAGTATACAAGAAACTGGGGATTGGTTAAAGAGTTGTAATGATGGCTTACAATGACCCCTAACTTTCTCTTTCAGTGGAGTATGACAAACTGTGGTTTCTGCAGCCGTGGAGTATTTTCAACTTTTTTTGGAAATTGTTTTTATTCTATACTTAAAACTGGGTTGAAGACAGGCATGTAGCTGTAGGGGGGGGAATGGGGGTTCCCCCCCCAAATTCTGATGGTGGTCCGCGAGAAGGCTTTACTGGTACATTATTTAAACTGTTATGTTTATTCATATCATGATCTGATCACCATGCTCAATATATCCCATATGCATGCGGGTATTGGGGTAACGATACAAAAGGTTTGCTAAGGTAGACCCTCTTTCACTCAGACTCAGCCCCCCCCCCCGAATCAAACTCAGCCCCCCCCCCCCGAAACAAAATCCTGGCTACGGGCCTGGTTGAAGACATCAAAAAAGTAGCAACCTTGGAGGGGGGAGGGGATAAAAGCAACACAGAATTTTAACTTTCCTACTCTAACAATCCTATCATCTCTTACTACTGGCTGTGATGGCTAAGGCTAATGGTAGTTGTAGCCCAACGGCATTGGGTAGAATGCAAAGCTCACATGAAGAAACACAGATCCATATAAACTCTTTTCTAGGATTACTATTTAATAGGGGTAGCAGGAATGTGTAGATAACCTTACCACTTCTGTCTCAAGGTGGTGCTGGCCCTGACCCTTAGTAACTCTGTGTTGGCCTTCTTCTGTTCTTGATTCCAATATACTTACTGAGAGTCCAGAGAGCAGGACCAGAGAAGGCCATGGATCATAACAAGGGTAGATCCAGCATTCTCTTTCCCAATGTATATCCTGAGCATGAAGAACAACCAAACAGGGCTATCCTGCAACTAAACTGGAACATTGATGGATTGCACTGTCCTTTGTGGTGTTTTATGTGCCTTCTCATACACGCATCACATTTTTGGTGGGATTTGCTTCTGGATAATTTTGAGTCAGTTTCAGTTGCAAATTAAGGACTAGCCAATAGCTAGGCTAATCTGTGGTTAATGAATTAGGACAAATAGGATGAGAAATAAATTAGCTCAGCTTTTCCCAACAGAGATGTTTGGAAGTGCCAACCCCATTAAGGTCCACCAGCATGGCCCAAATATTATTATACATATGTGTGTATAAATTGACCACATGTATTAGTCAAGTGCAGGCTGTAGGGCCTAAAGTATGGATTTTGATATTACTTGTGGATAAGTCGAGGATCATTCCATGGAGAAGGGAAGGCACTAGACTCACTTAAAACTGCAATTACCTTGAAGCACGAAGGTTGTATCTACACTACAGAAGTATAGTAATTTGAATGACTATGGCTCAATGCTATGGAATTCTGGGGTTTGTAGTTTTACAAATATTTATGCTTCTTCTGCCAGAATACTCTGGTGCCCAACAAACTACACACCCCTGGATTCCATATGATGGAGCTATTAAAATGGCACCAAACTCCTATAATTCTGCAGTGTGGATGGTCTCAAAGGTCCCTGATTTTAATCTGCAAGTTTAAATGGAAGGGAACGAGATAATGTCATATGTCTCTCAAGAGCAATAATAATCTCACTTCCACCATCATTTGTTTTAAAATGTTTAAACATCAATCAAAATGGGGATAGAAACTGTAAAATATAACTTTGAATGGACAGGATGGCTTGACTGATCTAGATCCACTTGATAATCCCAGAGTTTATAATCCAGTGTATTTCCTTGACACAATTTCTTGTCTAACAGGCATTCATACATATTATGTGTCTTTTGCTATTTTGCAAGCTCTCAAATTGTCTGCTGTGTCTACCCACTGGCAATGGTACGTATCCCCAGACGGAAGTTCAGCTGCTTTTAGTAGAAGAGGCTCTTCGGAAATTTCAAAGGATTGAAAGGCTGTTTGTTTTCAATACCCTTCCTGGTTATGCACTTTAAAAGAAAATAAGAGAAGCAGAGAATGCCAAAGGAGGCGGCAGAACCGGCTATGTCCTCAGGCTGAAAACAAAATCTTCAATTGAGTTTTCTACTTGAAGATAAGGTAATAAATTCAAAGACTTTTGAGAGTTTAGGATGAAGTGTGCTTGAGATCTTATTGCTCAATGTTACAATTGGGTAAGCACAAAGAGGACTGCCACTCACAATCAGATTTGTAGAGCAATGGCTAATCCATTTTGACGTCTAGTCTCTTGGAGTTTTGGGATTAATCATACATGGATCAGATTCTAAAGGAACTACAGAGAAATTAATGAGTCATCATTTCCACTGAGCTTTATGCATCACAGTCTGTGTGAATCTTTACCATTGCTCTTTGTATAAATGGCCAACAGTTGCTTCTGGGAAGAGAAGTCAAAAGCATAAGGATTGCTCCCCATTAGCTGTTGTCCAGATGTCTGCTGCCTCTCTGAATCTGATATAGCCACTAGGAGTGCATCTATACCAGGCATGAGCCAACTTGGGCCCTCCGGGTGTTTTGGACTTCAACTCCCACAATTCCTAAAAGACTACTGGCTGTTAGGAATTGTGGGAGTTGAAGTCCAAAACACCTGGATGGCCAAAGTTTGTCCATGCCTGATTTATACTGTGGTATTAATGCAGCCTGATGCCATTTTAACTGGTTCATTCCATGGAATGATGGGACTTGTAGTTTTAGAAGGTTTAACCCAGGGGTCCTCAGATTTTTTGAACAGAGGGCCAGGTTACAGTCCCTCAAACTGTTAAAGGGCTGGATTATAATTTGAAAAAAATAATGAATGAATTCCTATACACACTGCACATATCTTATTTGAAGTGCAAAAAACACGTAAAACAATACAATAATTAAAATGAACATTTTTGACAAATAAAAACTTAATATTTCAATGGGAAGTTTGGGCCTGATTTTGCCTGATGAGATAGGATTGTTGTAGTTGTTGTGTGCTTTCAAGTCGTTTCAGACTTAGGTTGACCCTGAGCGAGGGCCGGGTAAATGACCTTGGAGGGCTGTATTTGGCCTGCGGGCCTTAGTTTGTCTGGTCTAACCTTTTCTGCACCAGAACTTTTAGGCAGAAAAGGCCAATTACCTTCTAAAACTACAACTCTTATGATTTAATAGCATTGAACCATGGCAGTGTGGATGCATCCTAGTACATGACATCCTGGAGAGTACAGAAAATGAGCCACTGTTTGTCACAAATTAAAACTATGATAAACTTTTGTGACATCTTACTTTTTTGGCATCTCCACTCCATTAAATACATCAAGTGGTGCCTTAAATTGTCAGGTATACACAAACACACACTTTACTGGCAAAGAAAAATCTCAACTCTCATCAGAAAGACATAAAATATAGGAAAGTACAGATGGTGCTAATTATGCTAAAGCTGAAATGTATGTATGGCTGTGCCTAAAAATAGTACAAATGTGCAATAATTGTTCCCAAAATAGCACTGATTGTAATAAAGACAATGTTTTTGAAGACAGCATTCACAGACATTAGATGTGGCAACGCCTGCCAACTCAGGCAGCTGTCAGAAGCGAGTTAGATCAACTCATGGAAGATGAGGCCATTATTGACTATTAAACAGGATGGCTATATATGAGGTTTAGTGCACATAAGTTGCAGGAGAACCTCATTCAGAAGGGATTAATGCCACTCTGTCCTACTTGTTGACTTTCCAAGATATATCTGGCTGACCACTGTGTGAAGCAGGATAAAAAAGTAAAGGTTACCCCTGACATTAAGTCTAATTGTGTCCGACTCTGGAGAGTGGTGATCATCTCTATTTCTAAGCCGAAGGGCTGATGTTGTCTGTAGACACCTCCAAGGTCATGTGGCCAGCATGATTGCATGCAGCACTGTTACCTTCCCATAGAAGCAGTACTTATTGATCAACTCACATTTGTATGTTTTCGAACTGCCAGGTTGGCAGAAGCTGGAGCTAACAGCAGGAGTTCATCCCACTCCCTGGATTCAACCTTTTGCTCAGCAAGCTCAGCAGCTCAATGGTTTAACCTGTTGCACCACCAGGGGGGCCTTGAAACAGGATACTGAACTAGAAAAGACTTTGGTTTGATCCAATGAAGCTGCTTAATATTCTTGTGATTGCCTAATAACTTGACAACCTGGGATAATAACTTTATCCATCTGATGGAATAAACTCTAGCCTATCAAAGTTTATACCACAATTAGTTGGTGACGTTTTCAAGGCACTACTGGATGCTTTACTTGCAACCAAGTAACATGGCCAACCCATCTGGAAACAATTATAGCTTAGCTTACAGTGGGGACACTCCAGCCAATATGAGTTCCCTCCTAAATTTTCACTGTGTTATATTTGCAGGGCATGGTACAGGCTTGAAGACAGATTATAACATGCCTAAGACTCTTGAAGAAATTATGTTTTGCTGTATTACTAGTTATCTTTCAAATACAATGAGATCTGCATAGAAAAACACAGGGAGAGTATTTTACTGTGGTTCTGGAGGTTTATGATGGTAAGTCCTGAGTGTTTTCTTGCATGCAGGGAAGACTTTTTTAAATCTCCTGAATACAATTCATTTGGAACCCTTAATGAGACAACCTGGCAGCTCTTTGAGCTCCGATAGAAGCTCTACAAAGCTTTGGACTGAAGTTCTTCAGGCAATGCTTTTGACACTGTACCCTTTTTGCTGCTGAGAGCAAAGCAACACAAAACAAAACAGATATTACAAAAAAGAGATCTATAATGAACCTTTCCCATTCAGGGCTATAGTTAATAATATGAAGCTAGTTAGCTTTTAACTTTTTTCTCCCAAGTTAATTGGATGTTAACCTGATTATTATGCTACATAGAACAAATGACATTTGTAGGGCCTTCATGTGTGTGTATTTGCACATGTTAATTTGTATCTATTGGTTTACATACAAATATAGATAGTCAGCCTTCAAATTTGCAGGTTTGACTTTTGTGGATCTGATTATTGGCAGATTTGATGAAAATGTTCTCTCTAGGAACCTCTAGGTGTTCCACTGTAACTCTATACTCAATTTCTGCTGGAAGTTAACCAGTGGACAAACTACAAATTCTTGGGGCATCTCTCTAGGAATCTCTATGTAAACTAGCAGAGGTTGATCATAAAGTCATGCAGGAACACCTAGAGATTCCTAGATAGGTGAAACTGCAAGTCATTTCTGGTGTGAGAGAATTGGCCGTCTGCAAGGACATTTCCCAGGGGATGCCAAGATGTTTTACAATCCTGTGGAATCCTTCTCTCATGTCCCTGCATGAGAAGCTGGGGCTGACAGATGGGAGCTCACCCTTTCTCATGGATTCGAACCACTGACCTTTCAGTCAGCAGTCCTGCCGGCACAAGGGTTTAACCCATTGCACTACCGGGGGCTCCTCTGAAATAAAAAGTGGGTTTCTTTACTTGCCATTTTTCCACATCTATGGAGCCCTGTGCCATTGACCCAGGCATGGGCAAACTTCTGGGATTTCTGGAAGTTGGACTTCAACTTCCAGAAATCCCAACCTGCTTACCGGTTGTGAGGAATTGTGGGAGTTGAAGATCAAAATACTTGGAAGGCCAAAGTTTGTCCATGCCTGCTAGCCTCAGTCAATATAGAGTGTTGATTGTAGTTCAATATGATTGTGTTTTTGGATCTTCCTTGGGGGTGTGGCTTCAAGGATGCTCATAAGTGCCCAGACTTCAACCTTTGACACTACATCCCTGTTCCTCACATAGTCTTCATGCCTAAGCTTAGTTCAAAGGAGTTTAACCAGGTTATTTACCTAACTGGGAATGCGGCCTGAGCCCTGCCACATGCACAATGGGGGACCTTCTTATAGCAACACCAGAGGCACTAAATACTTGGCATTATTTAGTATAATGCCAAGTTTTTAAAACCTTGATTGTTTTTAAAAATACATTACAACTGTAGCCTCAGTTCGCTTCTGATACAGTAAATAAATAACCCAAACTGGGAATGAAATGTTGGTAGGAACCAAAAGATTCAGACCATATTTGAGGCAGAGGAGGACTTCTTTCTACCAGAGTACATCAGGAGTGCAGGCATGGGCCAACTTGGGCCTTCCTCCAGGTGTTTTGGACTTCAACTCCCACCATTCCTAACAGCCGGTAGGAGTTGAAGTCCAAAACACCCTGAGGGCCGAAGTTTGCCCATGCCTGAGGAGTGGCTGGTGACAGAGGGGAGGCACTCTTAGTTTCCCCAACCCCATGTTGTCCCTTTGCTAAATCTCAAGGCTAATGACTCCCAACCAGCATTCTTCAGGCTGCTGTGTAGAAGAAGCAGCAGAGTATCCAGAGTGTGAGAAGGAGACCCTGCACAGCCTGCCTTACCTGCTTTCCTCAGCTTCTTGTTCTTGTAGACGGAGAGGATGACCAGGAGGTTGCCCAGGACGTCCACGGCGGTGGTGATGATGAGGACCAGGGCCAGGAAAGTCACCGCCCAAATGGGGTAGAGGTCCTCTCCTTGCTCCCCACCAGCGGTGTTGTTCTTCTGCAAGGAGCCGGCCTCCTCCATGCCTGGCGCTCCCAGGAGAAGCCAAACGAAGGGTCAAGAGAGGCCAAGGGAAGCCCGGAGGCAAAAAGGTTAGGGACGCGCACAAGAATCCTTTTTTTCCGTGTCAGGAGGGACTTGAGAAACTGCAAGTCGCTTCTGGTGGGAGAGAATTGGCTGTCTGCAAGGACGTTGCCCAGGGGACACCCGGATGTTTTGGACGTTTTACCATCCTCGTGGGAGGCTTCTCTCATGTCCAAGCATTGGGAGCTGGAGCTGACAGAGGGAGCTCACCCGCGCTCTCTCCTGTCGGTCTTCAGTCCTGATGGCACATGGGTTTAACCCACTGCGCCACCGGGGGGCTCCTCCGAAAGAACTTCCCAGAAGGGGGGAAACGAGAGTCCCCTAAAGATGAACTTCCCAGCCACTCGGGTGGAGAACTCCTCGGGGTTTCCTGGCGGGGAAGTTGATGGAAGAGTCTGGGCTCCTTTCCTTGGAAGATCTGCTTCCCCTTGGGCCCCCTCTCAGCCTCGCAAACACCCGGGATGGGCTCTCCAGAAGGCACGCAACAACATTTCCCAGAGAGCCGGAGGAACAGGAGGAGGAACAGGAGGGCTTCCCAATTCCATGTCCGTCCTAGGAACCCGGGAAAAGGCAGCGCGAGGAAGTTCTCCCCCGTTTCCAAGTTTGGGGCGCAGGCTTCTCCTGGCGCGCTCATCCCAGGGGCTTCCCTTCAAGGCGCCCCATCCCACGCGCTCTTCCTCCTCGCTCGCCTCGCTCCTGCTTCTCTGGGATGTTGTGGAGATCTTGGAGGGATTGGGGAAGGGATGAGAGAAGGGGAGGCACAGTGTGCGGGGAGCCCCCTCTTCCTCGCAAGCTCCCCGCAAGCGCCTGTCCCTCCGCTCCCCGCAAGCGCCTCCTTCTCCCGAGGGCGAAGGCGCAGGAGCCCCGGCATCCGCGCTCTTCCCTTCCTCCTCCTCCTCCTCCTCCTCGTCGACATTCGCTGCCCTGAGCAGCAGCCCCTTTTTATATCGTTTGTATAGCGGATGCGGCGGACACTTGTCGCTGCTCTTCACCCGCTCCAGCCGGCTTTTAACTCTTTCCGAACCGGAGGCAGGAGTCCAACGGGGAGAGGAGGAAACCGGACATGGAACTATTCCAAGTCAAGCAACTGGGCGCTTCGAAAGCCTGTCCCCAAACGTGCACACCTTTGTTGTGGGGTGATTTCGAGTCGTTTCCAGCCTAGAGCCATCCTATGACAAGGCTTTCCTTGTGAGAGTCTCAACTAGGAATACTTCTGTACTTAGTCACCACACCAGTTCAGCAAAATCAGCAAGCAGTTTATTGGAGGAGACCTCGTGGGCCATCCAGTCCAACCCCCTGCCAAGAAGCAGGAAAATTGCATTCAAGGCACCCCTGACAGATGGCCATCCAGTCTCTGTTTATAAGCCTCCAAAGAAGGAGCCTCCACCACACCCCAGGGCAGAGAGTTCCACTGCTGAACAGCTCTCACAGTCAGGAAGTTCTTCCAAGTGATGGAATCTCCTTTCTTGTAGTTTGAAGCCATTGTTCCACATCCTAGTCTCCAGGGTACAAGAAAACAAGCTTGCTCCCTCCTCCCTGTGACTTCCTCTCACATATTTATATATGGCTATCATGTCTACTCTCGGCCTTCTCTTCTTCAGGCTAAACATGCTCAGCTTTTTAAGCCACTCCTCACAGAACTTGTTTTCCATACTCTTGATCATTCCAGCTTGTCAACATCTCCCTTCAATTGCAGTGCCCAGAATTGGACACACTATTCCAGATGTAGTCTAAGAAATCCAATCTAGAACTATTAAAAGTAAAGCTGCTGGAGTTCAACCCCACACTGCCCAAGTCTCAAGTCCTCAACGAGGAGAAGTTAGCATTAGTATAGTCTGAGGGTTTCCCTTCCCCCATGCTATGGTTGTTTAAAAAGGATACTTTTCTACCTCAAGCCATTTCAGAGCTGACTTCTTCCTTCTTACAATTTAGTATGGCAAATATTGCACTGTGTGCTTTGAGATCTCTCTCTGTTTGTGTGTCAGGAGAGATGTAGTGACTGGAGTCCCCCCCCCCCCCTTGAAATCTTACAAGAGATGGGTGTTAGAGTAGCTCAGAACCAGTTCTTTACTCAGAAGAAATATAGTTAGTTATTATTATTGTAAATAAATCTTTTGTGATTTTTTAAATAAAAGATTGGACTCTTCATGTTTGCCACTTAAGCTCTGAATTCTTTATACCCACATCACACTGCACTTCATGCTCTTCTCGCTAGTGAGCTGATGCTCAGCTTTAGTATCCTGTTTGTTTTTGGATGCTCTGCTATATACTTAGGGTAGTTTTCCCTAACAAAAGCAACATAGCACTTAGAAAGCGTGTCCCCAAACATGTGCACACCTTGGTTATGTGGTGCCTTCACGTCGTTTCCAGCCTATAACCACCCTAAGGCAAGGTTTTCTTTGTTGAGAGTCCAGATACGCTACATCCACAGCATTCCCTGTGTCTACCCCACATAGCAATTTGCTACTTGCCAAAAAGGTTAAATCATAGTCCCTATGTTGTGTGGCTTTAGTATCTGTTGTGACTGAGGGCCCTTCCAGACAGGCCCTATATCACAGGATATGATCCCAGGTTTTCCTTTTATACCAGATTATTTGGCAGTGGGGACTCATATACTCCATTTGTAAGCAAAAAAAAACCCAACAAAAACCTGGAATCAAATCCTGGGATATAGGGCCTGTCTGGAAGGGCCCTGAATCTGCTCCTGATTTTAGTCCACACTTTTAAGTGATCTATTCTAGAAGCTGACTGTAGCCCTCAAATAGGTTCAGCACCATGGATAGTTAATCTAACCAGTTTCCCATCCACAAAGTAATGACAAACGTGAGAGATCCAATCTTCTCCATGATATTCTGGAATTTCAATTTTTTTGTTTTAAAAAACTTACCCTCACCTCCAGCTATGGCTGACATATCTGGTAGTTACATAGGAAAGATGTTTCATTGATACATATCCCACAGTAAATTTGACAGAAAGTGCCACACCATCTATTGAGGCAGCAAGGAATTGCAACAGGGGATCCAACTTCTGATTGTCTCAGCCTTATTTGCAGGTGGGAGGCTGGTAGAAGTGGTGTCTTCCTTGTGCCTCTATCAGCATCTCAATCCTCCTTTGCCCATGTGGCTGTTGGTTGTTTAGATGGGCTGTGGGACAGCCTTACTGGACTAAGTAGCATTACTGAATCTAAAGGAACCGAGGTGGTGCAATGGGTTAAACCCTTGTGCTGGCTGAACTGCTGACCTGAAGGTTGGCGGTTTGAATCCATGAGACCAGGTGAGCTCCTGTCTATCAGCTCTAGCTTCCCATGTGGGGACATGAGAGAAACCTCCCACAGGATGGTAACACATCTGGGCATCCTCTGGACAACGTCCTTGCAGACGGCCAATTCTCTCACACCAGAAGTGACTTGTAATTTCTCAAGTTGCTTCTGACATGAAAAAAATGAATCTAAAACAGTTATGAGTTCATAACTTAATGTTATGAATCTGTAAGTGAAATATCAAATGTCAGCCATGGCTCAAGTTCAAATGAATTCAATGGCATTTCCTATTGAGCAGACACACATTGGATGCAACTTCAACAGTTTGCATGGTGCAAGATTATTCATTTGCAGGCTAAATGCAAGGCCTTTCAAACGTGAGGAATTATATGCAGCCTGTGGATCACATAAGGCTCCCGTGTGGACTTTGGCCCCACAAAACCAAAGCTTTAACAATGATTTAGGCCTCTAAAGTACTATTTGGTGCAAAACATGCCCCTAGGGTTATAGTTTTGTATTCATCCACTGTTTTGTGCAGACAGTATTCCAGATCAGCAAAAATTAGTAACCAAAAGTGATTGGAGTACCACTTAATTTTTTTAGAAAATTGGCAACCTACAGCTTGCATGGTGTCGGAGTGGCCTGTAAATGATCCACCGCTGTCTGAGTGGGCATAGCACCACAGAAGCAAAACTGCAATATGATTTTGTTTGTCTACTCAGAACAACAGGGAAGACGTCTCTTGCACTCCAGAGGTGCATTCAGCACTCATTATCAGAGGTGCATTCAGCAGGCAAAGATGCAGCAGCTCTGACAAAAGCTGTATTTTTTGACTCTGCCTGTGTTGTGAAACTCTATTTCCTATCAGAACTTTTGCCAAACCTCTGAGGTGGCTTTTTAAGTCATTCTAATTTACTTCAATTATGTCTTATATGTATGTATGCATGTGTTACAAATGTGTTTGTTTAATTTTTTATTCATTCTACCTTTTTACCAAAAATATGATGAAGATTGCTAACAGTAATAAAATACAGATTATAAATGGGTAATTAGGTTCTCTATGTGCATGCATTTGCCTTCAAGTTACATGTAGACTTATGGCAATGGCAAATAGTTTCATAGGGTTTTCTTAGGCAAGGAATTTGAAGAAGTAGTTTGACCAGTTCCTCTGAAGTATAGAGCCTACAGTGCCTGGTGTTCATTGGCTGTCTCCCACCCAAGTATTCACCAGAACTGATTCTGCTTAGCTTCCAAGATCAGAAGGAATCTGATGCCTTTAGAGTATTTAGGCTGTTCTTGTTGGAAATAGCAACCTTCTTCAAGCCTTCCTTAGTTATTAGTTATTTGTTAAATATAGAATTCAGATTGCTTACTGTATTGTGTATGTGTGTCTTGGTATGCAGTTTTCCTTAACTCTGTGTTATGAGTGGGGCTGCAGACCATGTGATCAGATCTGGGGATATTCAGGACTCAGACTCTATTTCAGAAGTCTGTAGAAACAGAATGCTTTAGAGACTCTATTAGACTCTCAGAACAGAGAGATGCTTTAGATTTTGGACTGCTAAGATTCTAAGAATGATGCATACCTGCACAGAGAAACTACTTCAAATCCTTTCTGTAACTGGATTGATAAGCAAGGTACCTGCATGCTGAATGCATGAAGTTTGAGGGTAAAGCAACTATGTGAGTTTTAACAAAGACTGCTTATTTTTGGTCTCTTGAGAGCATGATTTAAACCAAGATGTTTCAGTTGTTTGAGCAACTGAAATAACACTTCTGAAACTCTACTTTTTTTGTGAATTGTCATATCTTTGTTCCTAACAGTTCAAAGAGATATCTAGGTATATCAGTCTAACAGCTGAGAAACCCAATCACCTTGCATGAATACTAGTGGATATTTACCACTAAGGAGAAGGTTGACTCAAGCAAGTTTTAAACTTTTCTCAGAAAGATCATACCTTGCAAAGGGTTTTTTTTCCATGTCAGGAGTGACTTGAGAAACTGCAAGTCGCTTCTGTTGTGAGAGAATTGGCCATCTGCAAAGATGGTGCCCAGGGGACATCCGGATGTTTTGATGTTTTACCATCCTTGTGGGAGGCTTTCTTATGTCCCCACATGAAGAGCTGGAGCTGACAGAGAAGCTCATCCGCATTCTCCCCGGATTCGAACCTCCAACCTGTCAGTCTTCAGTCCTGCCCGCACAAGGGTTTAGCCCATTGCACCATCGGGGGGTTTCCAAAGGTTATGATTATTCCAAATAGTGTGAATGCCAATTGATCTCCAAGAGGGTCATGTTTCCAAAAGCCTGTGGAGATTTCTGGTTTTCCCAAAAAGTTCTGAATAGCCATTTTCCAAAAGGTTATAAAGATTTCCATTTTCCAAAAGTTCTGCATGGGTCAAAATCATAGGGTGAATCTACAATGTAGAATGAATGCAGTAGGACACCACTGTATGTCATGGTTCAATGCTACAGAATAATAGGAGTTGTGATTTTATGAGGTCTTTAGCTGTGTCTGTCCAAGAGTGCTGGTTCCACACCAAACTCCAACTCCTGTGATC